GTGTGTAGTAGGCCTGGGCGATAAAACGGTATCGATATTTATCGACGGTACACCTTCTTCGATAACGATAGAAAAAATGTTCGATATGGCACATGATATAGGCACGTGCTATGAGACAGCACACACAAACACGCACATGAGTGCTGTGCCTGCCTGTGATGAGGAGATTGTGAATAAAGAACGAATATTAGTCTAATTTGAAATAAACATCTGCATTTGAATGTTAGGTGTGCATCATCAGTTGCGCGCGAGATGCGGTGATGATGTAAGTGACGTTGTTGCATTTTAATGTTTTGTTAGTGTAGCCCACGAGACGCGCCGCTGCTGCGTTATTCATTCAAAATATTAGAGAAATATAGAAGCTCGATGCGGAGAAGATCTTGAATGGGTTAAAACCGAACCCAAGCCATTCAGACAGAACGCATTTTTTAGACGGACAAGTACGACTGCTGCACTCGCGTCTCACACAAGAGATGTAGCCAAGCAAAGATAAAACAGTTTAAACTTTTAGAAAACACGTCGTGAATTTGTAGAGGTTTATTCCTTTTCACTGCGTCTCGTATGTTTTAAATGCAGTCTGCGTGATCGGCGCTTCGACTCTTTGGATTAAGCAATGCATAAATACATGATGCTGTTTTGTTCATAATTGTTTATGCAATTTACGAAATTATATTTGATTTTTATGAGTTAATGTAGACAGTTTGTTTTTATAGACAGTTATTTCCTTGCGTTGACAATTTAAATGCGCTGCATTATTTTGCTCATTGCGCCCTCCTGTGGCCTCGGGAGACAAGACAAAAGTTTCCTTAAAACCTATTTAATCTGCATATAAAACAGTAGAAATTTGTTTAATTTTTATTTTGTGTTTGATTGTTAAAACAAAAAATATTTGTTGTTCGTCTCAATAAATTGGGTTAATTTAAAAAATACAGTAGTTAAATTTTTTTTTTTTATTCTATTGCTCTGTTTTCAAAAAGGTTATAAAAAATGTCAATAATCATCTATACCGAATGATATGAAACATTATATCGTCGATACATTTTTAGCTATATCGCCCAGCCCTAGGTCAAAAGTAATCAACAAGTAGTCTGATTATACTACCTAAAATGTGTAACGTTATTACGCTACCAACTCCAATTTTTATCATTTGGAATCAGTAACGGACTGCAATTTGTAAGTGATCTACCCAGCAGCACTGATGCCAGCCCACATGAAAAAATACTATAGTAATTTATAGTAAATAAATACTAGTGTTTTTGAACCATACTATAGTAAAGTACTTGAATTCATTTGTTGTGACAAGTCTATAGTTGCTGTGGTAAAATAACGACTATAGTAATATAAACAAATTACTGTACTACGTTTAGTACAGCTACACTACAGTTTACTGTAATACAAACTAAAGCATACTACAGTTTATCAGTTCACTATAGTTAATACTACAGTATGCTGTAGCATTCATTAATAAAGTGTTGTAAATACTATAATATATACAGTATTATAATACCATTTACTATAGTATGGTTCAAAAACACTGTAGTATTTACTATAAATGACTATAGTATTTTTTCATGTGGGGTGCTATGATCTTCTGTTTGATCTACAGCACTGGAGAGCACTGCATGACATTTGATGTCAACTAACCACATGCATTCAGACCCGTTCATTAACTGCAATGGCACACTAGATTAGTGTAAAACACAGCTCCACCGAAGAACAAACGCATGATACACTTTTTGTTGATTGCAAACTAAGAGAGACACATGCTTAGTCCCCGCCCCTCGAGCGCAGCCACGCCTCCTCCGCGTGACGTCACGCCCCAGTGTGCCGTGAGCAGCAGCAGACTGTAGGGGGCGTGGCAGATGACCCGAAGCATGCTAGGCCAGCATTCAGTGCTCATAACTTAGCATGCCACTAAAACAAACCACTGATTAGAGTTTAAACAAACCATGCGTGTTCAGGTTCAATGCACTGCACTTTCAAAATAACTTTTTTTTTTTTGCAGAGTAGAAGAACTAACCTTACAGTTGCACAGAAGAGTTTATCAATATGACTGACAGATCAAAAACAAGACAGGTTTGCAATCGCATCAATCTCTGTAGAACTTAACGTTATATAGAATTACGCTCATCTGGAGCTCAAACACCCATTCTGAGAAGATGGCACGCGTTCTTTAGCTTTACCTTATTTGCAGTTTGCACAAGAGGGATGTCCTCGATGCACAGAAATCAGGGGAGCATCTGAGGCCAGGCACATGTAGATGAATGTCCCCTCCACAGCCAGAAATAAAAGTTACTGTCGGCGGATTGAATCCACAGCAGCGCCCATCCGACGCCGTTATCCGTCGACTTCGCCAAATCGCAAATACGTTCCACTTAATTGCGGCACGCGTTTAAATTGCGTTTATGTCCAGTATGGCGTTCCATATTCTGTATATGTGTCGCCTGCGTAAACAAGACCGGCTGCGGTGAGGCACCTCTCAAGCTAAAGCAACATAACAAGCTCACACTTATAACTCTTTTGGCGCCATATTAATGACGTACCAAAAATTTCCGTAAGCAGCGAGCGAAGAAACCCCCGTTAATGCTCGGAAGCGTCACGTACGGCGGAGAACAACGCGGCGCGAGCGCGTTGCGTTACCTGTCAAGTTCGAAAACGTCCATCAAGAAGCGAGCGTGAAGAAGAAAGTCAGCGGCGTCTCTCCTCAAATGAGTGAACGGGGCGGTTCGCTGAAATAAGCGAGCACTTTACAGTGAGTCCGGTGGGGGGAGCCGTGGACAAACACGGAGGAGGAAGTGCTGTTTATGACTTCTTCAGCTCTGTGTGCTAGTAACACTGCATGTTTAGAACACAAACACGTGCCAAGTTTCTCACGAGCGAACGTTCTACAAAGTCACGTGTGCTTCAGACAAAACAACAACAACTGTAGCTCGGCTGAAGAGCAGGGATGAGGGGCCCCAAAACATACCTGGACCCACAAATAGCAATATATTCAAGTGGCATTTATTAAAGAATCACACTTTTCGAGCGTGGTATAAAACAACAGATCTAGTCAGTGTTGTGGTTCTCTGCTGTGTGAACCTGAGAACTAACTTCACACATCCACTGAAAAACCACCAAAACACCAGCCGAGTCAGTGCTGAGAAAGCTGTTGCACACACCTCTGTGTGTGTGTGCGTGTGTGTGAGAGAGAGAGAGAGAGAGAGAGAGAGAGAGAGAGAGAGAGAGAGAGAGAGAGAGAGAGAGAGAGAGAGAGAGAGAGAGAGAGAGAGAGAGAGAGAGAGAGAGAGAGAGAGAGAGAGAGAGAGAGAGAGAGAGAGAGAGAGAGAGAGAGAGAGAGAGAGAGAGAGAGAGAGAGAGAGAGAGAGAGAGAGAGAGAGAGAGAGAGAGAGAGAGAGAGAGAGAGAGAGAGAGAGAGAGAGAGAGAGAGAGAGAGAGAGAGAGAGAGAGAGAGAGAGAGAGAGAGAGAGAGAGAGAGAGAGAGAGAGAGAGAGAGAGAGAGAGAGAGAGAGAGAGAGAGAGAGAGAGAGAGAGAGAGAGAGAGAGAGAGAGAGAGAGAGAGAGAGAGAGAGAGAGAGAGAGAGAGAGAGAGAGAGAGAGAGAGAGAGAGAGAGAGAGAGAGAGAGAGAGAGAGAGAGAGAGAGAGAGAGAGAGAGAGAGAGAGAGAGAGAGAGAGAGAGAGAGAGAGAGAGAGAGAGAGAGAGAGAGAGAGAGAGAGAGAGAGAGAGAGAGAGAGAGAGAGAGAGAGAGAGAGAGAGAGAGAGAGAGAGAGAGAGAGAGAGAGAGAGAGAGAGAGAGAGAGAGAGAGAGAGAGAGAGAGAGAGAGAGAGAGAGAGAGAGAGAGAGAGAGAGAGAGAGAGAGAGAGAGAGAGAGAGAGAGAGAGAGAGAGAGAGAGAGAGAGAGAGAGAGAGAGAGAGAGAGAGAGAGAGAGAGAGAGAGAGAGAGAGAGAGAGAGAGAGAGAGAGAGAGAGAGAGAGAGAGAGAGAGAGAGAGAGAGAGAGAGAGAGAGAGAGAGAGAGAGAGAGAGAGAGAGAGAGAGAGAGAGAGAGAGAGAGAGAGAGAGAGAGAGAGAGAGAGAGAGAGAGAGAGAGAGAGAGAGAGAGAGAGAGAGAGAGAGAGAGAGAGAGAGAGAGAGAGAGAGAGAGAGAGAGAGAGAGAGAGAGAGAGAGAGAGAGAGAGAGAGAGAGAGAGAGAGAGAGAGAGAGAGAGAGAGAGAGAGAGAGAGAGAGAGAGAGAGAGAGAGAGAGAGAGAGAGAGAGAGAGAGAGAGAGAGAGAGAGAGAGAGAGAGAGAGAGAGAGAGAGAGAGAGAGAGAGAGAGAGAGAGAGAGAGAGAGAGAGAGAGAGAGAGAGAGAGAGAGAGAGAGAGAGAGAGAGAGAGAGAGAGAGAGAGAGAGAGAGAGAGAGAGAGAGAGAGAGAGAGAGAGAGAGAGAGAGAGAGAGAGAGAGAGAGAGAGAGAGAGAGAGAGAGAGAGAGAGAGAGAGAGAGAGAGAGAGAGAGAGAGAGAGAGAGAGTGTGTGTGTGAGTGAGAGTGTGTGTGTGTGTGTGTGCGCGTGCGTGTGAAGCAACATGCAAACACATGAATATCAGATGTTTATATTAAACATTCACATAATGAAGCATGTGGAAAATACTTTCATAGGCCTTGTCAAGGGTGGAGCTATATATATATAATTTTATTTTTTTGTGCAAATGAAAAAAAAGCAAGGCTGTGAGGGATAGATGCACACACTGTAAAAAAAAATCAGTAAAATTTACGGTAAAAAAACGGTTGCCGGAATTGTACCGTAAAAACAACGGTAGCAACATTTTAGGTTTTACGGTTTTAACTTAAATTGACAGTAAAATACCGTAATTTCATTAACTGGTATAATGTTAATATACCAACCTATAAACATTCATTTAACAACATTAGGAGTAACACACAACCCTAATATGCAAAACTGATAAGAACAAACTAAGAAGAAACAGTTATTTCAACAACAAAACATCAAATTTGAAATGTAATGCAGGGAATTCTGGGAATGTCAATTTACGGTTATTCACTGTAAATTATACGGTCTTCTTCACTTACAAAAACGGTATACTACCGTAAAATTAATGTCCAGTACAGTTTTTCACCGTATATAGTAGGGGAATTTAACCATTTAACATTTAATTTTACAGTATTTTACCGTTAAATTCACGGCCATTTTTTTTACAGTGCAGTGTTGTTGTGCAGCAACTTTGAAAATGCATGTTTCTAAAAAAAAAACAATGTCCTGGTGATGCAAAACAAGACCTTAAACAGGATAGTGCACACAAAAATACAAATTCTGTCATTGTTTACTCACTCTTCCCTTTTTTTTCTTTTGCTGAACACAAAAGAAGATATTTCAAAGAATGTTGGGAAACAAAACAGCTGACGGTAGCCATTGACTTACACTTGAATTACACTTTTTGATTACTTTTGTCCTAACTCATTGATCACATTGATTTAATCTTGCACCATAGGCCTACTGATATAAAAATACAACGAGAAAGAAAATCTATTCATTGTGAAATGCATTAAACATTTTTACAATTTTAAAATACCAACAATCAGAATAAAACACTCGCTAAAAGATATCACGTGACCATTAACCAATGACAGCGCACCTTGAAAATGCACATTTGTTCATTATTATAACATAAGGCCTGCCTAAAATCTCAGGGGATGCTTCAAGTAAATATATTTATGGTGAAAGAGGATCCGCTGACAAAAAAAAGCATTTTAATTTTTTGGTCAACTGTCCCTTTAAGACGGCACACGCTGTATCCCTCACAGCCTCGCTTTCATTTGAGGAAAGTTTAAAAGTATGATGACGACACCAAATCACGCTTACATAAATGTATAATGAAAGGCGGAGTTTAGTTTTTTTTTTTTTCATTGTAGTTTATATCTGTTCAGTACCTTTATATTATATGTTGGAAATCAATAAAAAAATTAAAAATAAATAAATAAATAACGAAAGCCGGGTGTTGTTTTCCGCGGCACTGTACGTGACACGCTCCCTTTAAGTGCGTCCGTCACGACCGGAAGCAGAAGAGTGACGTCACCGCGCCGACGCAAACATGGCGGCTACGGACGTGGAAGACTTCATCGGACAGAACAGGCAGCTGTCGGATTTAGTCGAGACGTTTCGCAGCGTTTCCGAGAGCGAAAAACACTGGAAGAGCAGGAGGGAGTTTATATTCAGGAACATCAACGATTATGAAGACCCTCACCTGGACCAGCTGCTCGCGCTGTCTATGGTGTGGGCGAACCACGTGTTCCTGGGCTGCAGGTCCGAATAAAAGCGCTTTACATCATCACAAACATGTGTCCCTGCAGCACAAAAGCAGTGTTGAGTCGCTGGGGGATATTTGTAGCAATAGCCAACAATACATTGTATGGGTCACAATTATACATTTTTCTTTTATGCCAAAAATCATTAGGATATTAAGTAAAGATCATGTTCCTTGAAGATATTTTGTACATTTCCTACCGTAAATATATCAAAACTTAATGTTTGATTAGTAATATGCATTTCTAAGAACTTCATTTGAACAACTTTAAAGATGATTTTCTCAATATTTAGATTTTTTTGCACCCTCAGACTTTCAAATATTGTCCCACACATCAATGGAAAGCTCATTTATTCAGCTTTGAGATGATGCATACATCTCCATTTTGTTTAAAAAGGACCCTCGTGACTGGTTTTGTGCTCCAGGGTCACAAACGACGTGTGTCCTGATTAACCGCTCGCATGACGCAGCTCTATCAAGGACCAACTGTCTGCACAGAATGCATTTATGCTTTGAAAAAACACGAGAAATGGCAGTGGAATGGGGAAGAAACAAGGTTGTGAGACGTGAGATGAAATGTTTTTCACATCAGTGTCGTGTTTTTAGAGCACTGTTTAATGTACACTGCTGTTCAAAAGTTTGGATTCAGTCAGATTTTTAATGATATATCAAAACTTAACTTTTGATTAGTAATATGCATTGCTAAGAACTTCATTTGGACAACTTTAAAGATGATTTTCTCAATATTTAGATTTTTTTTGCACCCTCAGACTTTCAAATATTGTCCCACACATCAATGAAAAGCTCATTTATTCAGCTTTCAGATGATGCATACATCTCCATTTTGTTTAAACATGATCTTTATTAATATCCTAATGATTTTTGCCATGAAAGAAAAATTGATAATTTTGACCCATACAATGTATTGTTGGCTATTGCTACAAATATCCCCCAGCAACAGCTTTTGTGCTGCAGGGACACATATATGATCAGACACTTGCACTTAACATTTTCTAAAAATCATACTCAAATGGAGTTAACGAGGTTTTTGAGATCGGTGTTTTATCCGTCATAAGAACGGCCGCATCTGAGACAGTAAATTAATCATTTTCATCAGTTTGCAGGTTATAAAGTTTATTGTAGCTACTGTATATGGGCGCTCAGTTTCTCTTGTTGTTTAATACATTTGGCCAAAATCTCACGATATAAAAGACGAACCGCTATGCACAGGGTATTTAAAACGTACAAAAGTGTAATTGGCTACAACTAGACAGCAATGCTAAGACTCTTCTCTGCTCTTTAAACACACAAAAACATTAGCTTTTCCACACAGCGTTTCTTGAGTAAAGGAAAGGCTGCTCTTATTCAAACATGAGTTCTTTATTAACCCTTGCATTGTGAAGAAGTAGCACTTCATTCTGAACGGAGCGGGGTGGAGTTATGAGGTTTGACGGACAATTTGAGGATCCAATGGCATTACGAGGTTTAGTCACATGCTCCTTTTAATGCTTTTCATTGGTTAAATATTTGTAAAACCCACAAATGGACAAGACAATGACCAATAGCACTGATTTAAAATAATTAAGTAGTTGGGAAACACCGGTTTAGACCACATGTAACAATGAAGAAGCAGTTCTGTGCACCTGTATGTGGGCAGGGTGAAGCGCGGGCGCTTATACACCTCCTCTGTGACGTGAATGTCTTCCTCACAGCTGATGGAGATCTTCTGGGGCTCTCCTTTAAAATGCTCGATGTCGTTGTAGACGTAGAACACGTTGTCGTTGAGTTTGGCGAAGTCCTGAAGCTGAAAACACAAATAACTTCAGATCAGGTCCATCTGTGATATTAGCGTGAAATTAAAATGACAGGAAAGCATAAACATTTGGGTCAAAATGGGGAAATCATTTTTAAAAAACGTGCAAAGTGCTTAGAAATGTAATTGTTCTATTTATGCTATTTTCATGTATTATAACATGAATGGTTTATATCATTTTTTAAAACAAATTTGATTTAATTGTCCTGTTTTATGTTCTTATACCCAATAACAACACAATGTCTTTGTTGTCTTGTCTATACTATTTCATATTAATATTAGCAAAAGTTTATCATATTATAATTAATCATGAGATCAGAAAACATTTAAATTATTTATTATTTATAACTAAATAGTATATTTCACTGCTTTAATATGATAGTATTTAATATACAATGAATTCATATAAATATATTTAATCCTGAGATCAGAATGGTTTTAATTTATTATTATTATTATTATTATTAAGTATGCCTCACTGCTTAAATATTAATAATAATAATAATTATTATTATTATAATGCATTAATATAAGTATTATTAATCCTAAGTTCAGAAAAAAATAATATATATAAATTAAATATATAAATAAAAATATAAAATAAATAGTCATTATAATTAATCCTAAAATCAGAAAACATTATTATTATTATTATTATTATTATTATGTATGCTTCACTGCTTTAATAAAAATAATAATAATAATCCAATAAAAGTATAACTAAACCTAAGATCAGAAAATATTACTATTATTATTTTTTCTGATTAATTATATTTACATAGATGCATTATTATTGTTATTATTATTAATCATAAAATCGGAAAACAACAAAAAAAATTAATAATAATAATAATAATGTATAAAAATGATTATTATATTATAAAGTTAATAATTTTTTTCCTGATCTCAGGACAGTTACTGTATATCATATCAAAATAAATTTTAATTCAGTTCAAATGTTCATCCAGGCCTGCATTCATTGTCTGTACTTGTTTATGTTTCCGAATAAATTAAGTGAGTGTCATTAACTTTTTTTCTGTTCTGTTGATCGTATCCTCTATATTCTCATCTCCTGACCTCTTTTCTGATGGTGAGCTCTAGATTCTCCGAGCAAGCGTCGCGTCCGAGATCATGCAGGTTCTCATGAAGGTTCTCCTTCCTCCGGGGCGTGTAGGGAAGAAAGTCTGCCTCCAAACGCAGGAACACAACGGGCTCCTCACGCAAACAGAATAAAATCACCTCCTTTTGAGAGCAAACGCATGTAAATCAGGCCAAATAAAACTCAACTCATAACATAGTCAGTAATCATGATGGTTATTTAAACTCATTTGCTCGAACGCAACAGAGTTTCATTCAAAGCATCAGTTTAATCAGCACCGCAGGTGTGACAAACACCTTATCAGCAGCATTATTTGCACATCGCTTTCTCTTGATAGAAGCTCAACACAGAGCCGCAGGAGATTTCCACGTACTGACCTGATGGCCTTGACCCTGCAGTCTGTGGAGGACCTGTTTGAAGCCACTCAGGCTGGGCTGGCCCATGCCGTAGAGCGGGAAGCTGCCTTTGCTCTGGCGGAAGTTAGGCGCTCCGTATGAGCCGCTGGTGCTGAGGACATCTGCTTTGCTGAAAACATCCTGCACCATGAAGTAAGAGCCCTGAGAAGAGCGCGATCAGATCATCAGCCGTCTTTACCGCCACTTTAAACACTCAAAAAAGGTATTTTTAAGCAGAATTAATGCTTTCACACACGTTGCATAATCACAAGGTGAAATTCTGCTCAGAGCCGTTCATGTCCTCAAACTAAAATTATTAATTTCTATGGCAACGTTCATAATGGCAAAATGATTTGATTTGCTGTTGATGCCGGTAAAATCCCTAAATTAACACAGCTCTACATGTATGCATTTGGCAGATGCTTTTATCCAAAGCAGTTTCCATTGCATTCAAGCTAAAAAACATTCTGTAGGAATCAAATCCATGCAGCAGATAAAATAACACATCAAACAGAAATGAGGCACAAAACTAGCTTTAACTGTTGGGTTTGCTGCTATTTTAGGTCTTTTTATACAAGTTTATTATTTATTTTTATTTCATTTGCCTATAAATATCTAAATGTATACACTGTGGTAGCATTTGTTATACTGCTTTTAATTTATTTAATAATAAAAAAACTTAAAATTAAAAATGTTCACATTTTAAAGTCATTGATAATTTAGTATTTTTAGTTTTTATTCATAATTTTAATTTGTGTTGTTTAATAATCTCCATTTTCGTTTTATTTTTTGATTGAAGTTTTAGCACTGAAATACATTTTTTGTATTAAACCTAAACAGTAATGTAAAAAATAAAACAAAAGCTGTCATTGTCAAAATGTCATATCAAAATGTTCAGATTTATTACAGTCAATTTTTTTTTTTTTTAATTCATAATTTAAATTACTTTTTATTTTTAGAATCTCTGCTTTCATTTTCATTTTTGGTTAAAAGTTTTAGCACTAAAAAAATACAATTTAATTAAACCAAAACCGTAATATAAAAAAAAAAGCTCAAAATTCACAAAAAAATTAAACAAAATTAAACAAAATAAAATAAAATAGTGCATAAGCAATACTAAAGTAGCACTGATGACGCCACAAAAGGCAAGAGGAAGAAGCTTTATAACAAAAGAGTTGAACAGAGATATTCACAGTCGGAAAATTGCAATTATGACAATTTCCAACATGCCACACCATTCAGCATAAACCCCAGCTTTAATAAAATGATCTGCTAAACACCTAATTACTACTTTATGATGTAGAAAACCCGAGCATTCAACTCGAGAAGAACATCAAATAATGAGATGCTCTGGAAAGGCACCGGAACAATGGTGAGTGTTTGACAAGCGGCCGCTTTGTGTTATCTGTTGATTTGCAGCGAAGCTCATCATTGGCTCGTCAGCAAACAGAAACTAACGAGCAAACAAAGGGAACGAGTGGCCAGCGGGAGGCGAGGAGCTTCAAAGCCTTCAGAGAAAGGTGCAAACGTCCTGTGAAGGACTAAAGAGCGCAGAGCAGCGAGTCGGTAATTAATGACACACTCGCTCGTCTGTTTGTGAAGACAGAGGCACATTTACGAGCCGCGGCTCTGTCCTCCCATTTAGACACTAATACACTGGAATCCACTGTAACTTATGAAGCAAATGTGTCCCTGCAGCACAAAAGCAGTGTTGAGTCGCTGGGGGATATTTGTAGCAATAGCCAACAATACATTGTATGGGTCACAATTATACATTTCTCTTTTATGCCAAAAATCATTAGGATATTAAGTAAAGATCATGTTCCATGAAGATATTTTGTACATTTCCTATCGTAAATATATCAAAACTTAACTTTTGATTAGTAATATGCATTGCTAAGAACTTCATTTGGACAACTTTAAAGATGATTTTCTCAATATTTAGATTTTTTTTGCACCCTCAGACTTTCAAATATTGTCCCACACATCAATGAAAAGCTCATTTATTCAGCTTTCAGATGATGCATACATCTCCATTTTGTTTAAAAAGGACCCTCGTGACTGGTTTTGTGCTCCAGGGTCACAATTATGAAATGCTGGAAAAGGAAAACAATTTAAAAAACGCGTGAAAACATCAGTAAATACGGAATGCTGTTATTAATAAACTGTATATATATCCAACATTTGTTACAAAACAAAAAACATTAAGCAGCAAACTATTAGAGATGATGCATACATCTCCATTTTGTTTAAAAAGGACCCTCGTGACTGGTTTTGTGCTCCAGGGTCACAATTATGAAATGCTGGAAAAGGAAAACAATTTAAAAAACGCGTGAAAACATCAGTAAATACGGAATGCTGTTATTAATAAACTGTATATATATCCAACATTTGTTACAAAACAAAAAACATTAAGCAGCAAACTATTATTAACTGAGCGTCAATAATAATAGAGCAGCATATTATACTGATTTCTGAAGACTGCAGTAATGATGCTGAAAATGCAGCTTTGATCACAGAAATAAATTACAGTTTACTATATATTCACCTAGAAAACAGTTGTTTGGAATTGTAATAATATTTAACATTTTTACTGTACAGATGTCTCGGAGAAGAAAATATTTATTGCATTTTATGCACTGAACGCTGCTTTGACTATCATGTCAAAAAGGCCAAAACTTCCATTTTTAAGCAACTAACCTCTCGACTAAATGTTCAAGTTCAGTTTTATTTCTAGAGCACGTTTAAGCACGGAACGAGGCCGGCCTAAGTGCTGCACGATAAAAAGAGCAATAACTGCTGTTGATTGGTCTGGTTTCAGGGATTGTGTAGATCTACAGCTGTGTTGTGCCTCTCGGCTTGTAGGTATGATCCGGTGCTGCTGGAGAAGGTGAGCGAGATGGCAGAGGGGATCGTTGTGGAGGACGCTCCTGTTTTTAAGACCAGAGATGAACTGATCAAACAGCAGCAGCAACAGAAGGTACACGTCCTGCTGTCATCCACTCTGTCCTTCACTGAAGCGTGTATTCTCTATGGAAGCCGGACACTATACGGCTGTTACCAATCAGCATTAACAACATTTGTGTTTGCAGTGCAGAGGTGGCACAGAATCTGCATCTGAAGAGGCGTTTAGATGCATTTACACTACTGATTAATGCAGGACATGAATGCATTTAACATGCAGTCACTAATGCATTAATAATGTCTTGATGTTTAAAAAAAAAAAACTAAACGTTGAATACTTATATTCAAAGTTTCTGCAGATTTTATAAAGGTAAATTTAAGACTTGAAGACCAATTAAAGAAAATCTATGGGAAAAAATGTGACCCTGGAGCACAAAACCAGTCATAAGGGTACATTTTTTAAAATGTATCTGAATAAATAGCTTTCCATTGATGTGTGGTTTGTTAGGATCGGACAATATTTGAAAATCTGGAATCTGAGGGTGCAAAAAAATCTAAATATTGAGAAAATCATCTTTAAAGTTGTTCAAATGAAGTTCTTAGCAATGCATATTACTAATCAAACATTAAGTTTTGATATATTTATGGTAGGAAACTTACAAAATATCTTCATGGAACATGATCTTTACTTAACATCCTAATGATTTTTGGCATAAAAGAGAAATGTATAATTGTGACCCATACAATGTATTGTTGGCTATTGCTACAAATATCCCCCAGCGACTTAACACTGCTTTTGTGCTGCAGGGTCACATATGTTTACTACAGAAGCAAAAGTCTTGTTTTCTTGGAAGCTGATCAAAATGAAGTGAGTTTATGATTGAAATGAGAATAAATATCTACCGCTTGGCTCAGAAAACCCCACTTAATTCAAAGGGAAAACGACTTTTCATACCCCGTGTTTGTTCTTGTTTCAAGCATAAACTCACTTAATTTCCTTCCGTTTCTCAGAAAACGAGACTTCATGTGTTCCGTTTGCATCTCGAGTGAATGCATGTCGATTTAAGGATGTTTTGTGTTGGAAAACACAACGAAAAAATACGGAGACGGATATTCATTTTTGAAATGCATGCAACATTTCATGTGGAAGGGCGAATTAAGATCAGCGAGTCTGTAGCACTGGCCAGTTTTGCACAGACCAGCAGCGCTAATCATTTACTACTTTTATAGCTGGAGAAAAAGAGGAGGAAACATGATGAAATGCCTAGAAAGAAAGGCATTTGTGATGAATGATGAAGCATGTGTTGAAGCATAGAGCGACCCAAACATAATTAAATATATTGCAAATAATCTGTTCTGTCTTTTCTGCAGAGGTGACGCCTGCACGCCTCGTGTTGTTTTAGCAGCAGCATCATCACATCTGATGAAGGAGCCTGAGATCTGTGGAGCATCACCAACTTGTAATAACGTCTAGCTTGTTTGATCCCTAGCTGTACATACGACGCCCTGTTTTTGAAATGCTTTTCTATTATGCATGTTTTAATAACTAGCTACAATAAAAACGACCGCATGTCCTTCGCTCCAAGTCTGAAAAATGTTTTATTTCTCGTTTTACACAGCATATTAGAAGTATAAATGTTCACAAAAATTCAACTCAAACGTCCCCTTAACACTGTGATCCCAGCGTGTTCTCTCAAAACTCGTCGCTGGAACATGCCCTCGTTTTATTAAACACGCGAGCGTCAAGATGCATCGTCAAATACAGATACAAAGTCGATCTTCAGGTGCATTTAAAGGCATGTCATCAGTTTTCAAATATATTAATGCTGGGGATATTTAGGGATTGCACTCTTCGCCGATCATTTGCATTCAACTGCATCAATCTGACAACAGCATGATTCAGATTTTGTTAGCAATAACTTATCATGCAGTTAAAAGGAATAAATAAGCACACACATTTTTGTAAAATGCATTTGCAAAGAACTGAATAATCCTATGAGTGTTTGTGGTGTGTAGGTGCGTTACGAGTCGACCCAGCTCTGCTCCACGATGGCAGACACTCTCTTCTCATATTCACGTTTGTTCTCCTGATAGAGCTGAGCTGCTTGACTGTTGGCTGGGCTGTTTGGATTGGGCTCGTCTAATAGAGACTAAAAACACAAGTCTGGATCTCACAACACTGTTCAAGAATCATACATGCAGCTCATATTTCACCCACAAAGACTCTGTTAACTCGTGTTTGTCAGCGTAAAATTACGCCGAGGACAAAAATGGTCAAACAAATATTAAATATTATTCACTAGCAGATCTTTTTAAAAACTAGGCATCAGATATTAATGTTGCAAGAATCGCTGACGCTGAAATAAGTTGCAAAAAGTGTTGTTATGCTGTAACGCACTGCAAACAATGCTTTTCTTTCTTCGATTTTTTGTCTTGTTTCCTGCCAAAATATCTAAAAATTCTTAAATCAAGAAGGATTTTCTAGACAAGTAAAAATGGTCAAATAATAATCTGCCAGTGGGGGATTATTTCAAACAGAAAACAAGATTATTTTGCTTGTTTCAAGCAAAAACTGATGTTTTTTTCTGAAAACAAGACTTTTTAGTTGTCTAGAAAATCCTTGATTTAATCATTTTTAGATATTTTGGCTGGAAACGACAAAAAAATACTTTTTTTTTGTGTGTATTAAATGTTTCAAACAGATTAAAGCGCAAAATAATTTTAAAGAACAATTCGTAATACTTTACATTACAATAAAGTCTCATTAGTAAACATCAGTTAATGCATTAACTAACATAAAAATGAGAAAGTTACTTTTGTTACAGAAGTTGTTAACGTTAATTCAATAAAATACAGCTAAACTTCGTTAGCTGTTAGCTTGGGTCCATTAAATAATAGTTACTAATGTGATCAGAAGTAGTTTTCATAGTCAACTCATTAATGAATTAATGTTAGCACTACAGCGGTGTTGATGGGAAAAGCATTCATAAAATACATTCTAAAAATCTGAATAATAAATCATTATTCACTCTATTTTGTAGTGCCTTCGATAACAATATCATGCATGTTTATTATTGTGATGTATCGCACATGTGCATTACCAACACACAAATTCATTCATTTTCAGGATTTGAAACGATAGAAACAATGCCGATATACGTACATGCACATGTATTTTAATCTAAAATATCGTTATTGAATAATAATAAAGTACACTTGTGAATAGAAGTGTAATAAGAACAAACCCATCATGCACCTGGATGGATGTCAGAATGGAGGAGACGTCATACGTGGGACTCCAGCGATTCTGAAGAATGTCTAAACATATGCTGCCATCTGCGTAGACTGACAAACACAAGATCATTCATCAGAAACACTGCAGACGTTGCATTACTCCACAACACGCTGGCAGCAGCTCACCATTTGGGTGAAACATTTTGGAGATGAAGCGAACCGTAGGAGGCTTGTTGGGATATTCTTCTGAAAACTCGATGACCAGCTTAAACGTTCCTGCGGAGAGAGATTTCAGAGGAATACGAATAACATCGACACGACCTTCTGAAACCTCTGTGGCACGGTCAGTAGATAAAATCATGTATTATAAAAGCTGCTCAAGATTCAATAACTAATGCTGAGTGCATGGTTCTTAACGAGTGTTTATTTGGAGGAGTGGCTCACCGTCTTCAAAAGGAGTTCCTACAGGCCTGCAAGGAAACACAGGAACAATGTTAAAGTTCTTCAAGCATAAACACGTCAGATCCACATCTCTTCGTGCACAGCAACGCTCCGCTGTGGAGTATCAGCTCATTTCTACAAACACACCCAAAGATCACCGCGTTCCACAGCATGATGTTGTTTTCTGAAGGAGCACCACTCACACCAGTTGGAGGATCTTCTTGAAGTCTGCAAACAAACACGAACAAGCTAATATTAAATATATACGAGTCCAAATCTGCTAAGGGTTCATAACGGAACAAGTGGTTTTAACAGGATCTGCATTTTCATTCGCATTTTTGTTATTAGAGACAATAAAAACAACTTTGTGCATCAAAACCACGTCTTTTCTTGTAAAAAAAAATGCATGTTTTTCAGGTCACTGAATTTGCGACAGCTGAACATAACATTTTTGACAAGCCACACGTGTCAGAGTAACACCTCACTTTATTTAAAACACACAATATTTACATTCAGTCATTTAGCAGATGCTTTTATCCAAGCGACTTACAAATGAGGACGACGGAAGCAATCAAAATCAACAAAAGAGCAATGATATGCAAGTGTTATGACAAGTCTCAGTTAGATTAACGCAGTACACGGAGCAAGGTAAATAAAAAGAAAACAGAATAGAGCAAGCTAGTGTTAGAGGCCTTTCTTGTTCAATTGTATAATAAATAAAAAGTAAACAAATAGATAGAATACAAAAAGAATAGAGAAGCTAGTGTTAGTTCTTTTTAAAGAAAACAAGCAGTTAGTGAATGAATAGAGTGCGAGTCTAAAAGGGGCAAGTGTTTTTAAGAATAGAATTAGAATAGAGCGTGCTAGAGTTAGAGCGTCAAGTAAAGATGGAAGAGATGTGTTTTTAGCCGATGCTTGAAGATGGATAAGGACTCAGCTGCTCGGATTGAGCATTCAAATTAAAATAAACTTAATTCCCTAAAATGAGTATCATCTGCAAAAAATAAAATAAAATAAAAATGCTAAGTTTCGTTGGTGAGGGGTAAAGAAGTGTGGTCAACAGAGCAATTATAGATGTAACTATAGAGATGATTTACAGATTATTACAAACAGTACTACGGTTTTAAACATGAATTCAATGTAGACATGTATGCATGCATTGCATCAAATTATTAATTTAAATGTAAGTGCATGGTACTTAAAGACGCTTAATATAAAGTGGGTCCATTTTATATAAAAACAAAGAGTAAGTCCAGAATGCCGAGATATTTAATCATTCCCACATGAAAAAATACTATAGTCATTTATAGTAATCATCAGTGAGAAGACATTTCAACACTTCAGCAATAAACAAAGACACTAATGTTCATCTAGAGTAATGTGTGTTTATTAGTACGCTTGAACTGCATCATCGAAGCTCAGAAGCAAATAGAACTGGATTAAATACATAAAGCATATTTGTGTTTAACATTTAATTATCGCAGGCTTGCGTCATATTCCGAGTTGCATTATTTGTATTCACTTTGAGGAATACTGAATCTGTGTTTTAATTTATTTTGTTGTGTGTGAGATGAATTCATGCATATTCATATTTATTTTAGAACTACAGTAACATCTTCTGATTTCTGTCACCACGGCGACACCAGAGCTGTCAATCAATAAATTAGAAACAAAGTAACTTGCAAAAGTAACTCCGATATTCTCTTGTAAACTAAAGAGTAATGCGTTACTTTACTAGTTACTTGAAAAAAGTAATCCGATTACGTAACCTGTAATGCGTTACCCCCAACACTAGTGTTTATAGAAGCATACTACAGTAAAGCACTTGAACTCATTTGTTGTGATAATTCTATAGTTGCTGTAGTAATATAACAACTATAATAATATAAACAAGTTTTCTACAACTATAGGGTATAGTATACTATAATACACTACAGTAGTAGTACAAACTAAAGCATGCTACAGTTTATCAGCTCACTAGTAGTGTTGTAAATACTATAATACATACAGTACTATAATACACTTTACTATAGCATGGTTCATGTGGTTGGTTAGTAAGAGCTGTGTCTTCAGCCCTGCACAACATCTGTGGCCTAAACAAGTGTGTCCTGATGAAAAACACTGGTGCTGTACTCTTGTTTAGCTCGTGCTAACGCTGCTAACTAGGCCTGGCTTCGACACCAAACACCCGTCTGAAGACACTGACCTCTTAAAGTCTCTCATGAGCCGCCGTCTCGCCGGAGTAGACATGCTTTAATAGCGGCTTGCTGTCATAAAGCGAGCAGAAGAGCAGAAGAGCGTCAGATAATAACAGCAGGACATGAGCCACGCGCCTGCTGGCAACAATCTAACATGCATGGGAACGTTTCATATTCAGCCAATTAATTAAATTAATCATTTCTCACTTTAAAAATGATTTCAAGCTTGATCGTAACGCTTTAGCAAAACTGCACAAGTAAAAAGGCGATTAGAGCGTATAGCATGCATTTTTCCTGTGAAGATTATTTAGACATATTTGTTGTTGTGTTATTAATTTATTGTACTTTTGTTTTTGGTTTGTCTGTTTTGCAATGGAAAATTCTCCTTGTGTTGTTCTTGGTTATGGCATTAATAAAAAAATCAAATAAAAAACACCCGCACATTTTTAATTGATAAACTAAAGTTTTCTACTTGTGTAGTGACTCACTTCTTTAGTAATAAACAATTACACAGATTTTCCAAACAATATTATGAGGATTTTTAATGATTCTGTTGGTGAGCCAATTATTTTATTAATGTTTCAGTTATAAAATTGTATATATATATATATATATATATAAATTAATTTTTTTAGTTTATCCTCTTTTAACTTATGTTTAGGTACAGTATACACAGTATTTGTTGGTGTGTAAAAAAAAAAAAAA